CACCCCCAACATAACTAACTGTTAGATCATCTACATGAGACCAGTAATTCTCCTAAAGCAGGACACAGAGACTGGTATCAGGAGCTTCATCCAAAGCATCGACATTCCTGCCCCCCAGAGTCCCTCTGAAGAAGCCAGTCCTTAAATCCTTATGAGGCAGAATTATGGGCTTAAAGGACCATGCTAAGGGCAAAAAGGTGGCCAGGAATGCATGCCAGGAAACACAGGGCAGGGCCAGGTGACAGGCTCCAGTCCCTCTGGAGCCGGAGCCAGAACCTCCCAGTTTGTTTTACCCTCACAGACGGTGTAATTTCCAGCAGGGCTAAAAATCGCCAATGGCACACAGCCAGAGGACAGGGCCAGGCTGGGTACACAAAAGCCAGCAATGAGCCAGAGAGGCTCCTGATTTAGAATCCAAGCAGAAAAGAAGAAGAGTGGTGGAGAGCCTCCCACAGAGGACTTATAAAGTAGCTGCCCTCTTTGGGTAAGATCCAGGTTGCCAATAGGAAATCTCTTACCTCCATGGGCCTCCTCACTTGTTCCATAGTCTTTCTCAGCAGCCTGATCTTTTTAGAAGGAGAGATCATGTGACTGGGACTCAAGGGACACCAGCTTATGATTTGGGAAACATCCCTCCTCTGTGAAGTCACCAGCTCACAGAGCAGAAATTTCCCATGGTACTTGTTTCCTCTCTCCCTAATACAAAATCCAAGTGATGAGACTAGTCCCAGAACCACCCAAGTCAAACTATAGTACAAAGATTGTTCTACATAGCTCAACATGCCTCAGAGATAAAGATTCCTTCAGTCCTTTCCTTACTCACTCATTCATTCAACCGCAGTTTTCTGACTGGCCACATGCTCCAAGCACTGGGCAGCAAGAATGCCTTGCAGAACTCTTAGCAGACACCACTCTAGCAATTGCCCAAGAACCTCTCTAAAGTGGACCCTGCTGGTTCAGAATTTCTGACTGGAGATAACTGCTTTTAATGTTTATGCTACCAGAATGGGTTAGCTAAAATATTTAATTGCATAAATATGATTGTCAGTTGGAAAACTGAAGTAACTTGAAACTTCCGATTTTCTACTGATTAAAGCAGGTCCTCTTAGGATCTCAACTAGATAGTGCATACATGCATAAGTGAATTAACATGTGATTCCAAACTTAATGACTTCACAAAAATATTTTTTTCATGTAATTAAATCAGACAAGCCCTTCCCTCATGGGGCTCAGTCAATATGCTTCTACTGTATTGCTTTCCAAAAAATGAAGCCAGAATTCAATAAACTACTAAGCCACCACACTAACTCTGCTTTAACCTAACTGGCCAGCCTTACTTCCAAAACACCTCAAGCTATTTATGAACAGATTAGGACTTTTTATCCCCCTTAAATCAATAGAACATCCCACATTTTCTGGATTAGAGGAATGTCAGGACCTACAAGGGCCAGAGGACAGGACACCGACCGTGAATAGCATGGTATCTCCCTTGGCCCTCCTCTTCCTTCCACCTCTTCACTGTGGGTATCCCTAGCTCCAGACTGCCACTTTTACCCTAGTCTTTCCCTCCTTGGAAAATCCATCTCGAAGAAATGCAAAGTGGAGATATGAGAAATGGAGTTTGAGGCCTGAATACCTGAGTCTGAGTCCTAATTGTACTCTCTGAGATTCAGTGTCCATATAAAAGAAGAAAAAAAATAATGCACAGCATACAGGACTGTGTTAGCCATGTCACGATACAATGGCCTTCATAAATTGCAGAGTGATCTTTAAATAATGTTGTGGCTATTGTTTTATTATGGTGATTACTACCCACTCCTACCTCTCCTCAAGCTCTACTCTCAGGTTCCAGTTAAGACCACTGCCACATACTCCTCTCCAGGGTCTGTCAAGACTACCAACAAGAAAGGGAGAACCAAGATAAGACCACCCCTCCCCTAAACATCTCAAGGGTGTCAAATCTAGAGTCCCATTCTTACTTATTGCCTCTACTTTAGAAGTACCTTTTCCTCTAAATGGGAATCCCCAATCTACAGAATACTTCCTTTTGGATGTACCTCTGGCCCTTCAAATTCAACTCCAAGAAAAAAATCTGTCTCCCCTTTCTAGAAGAGTGGTTCTCCTTTCCAGTTACCCCCTTTCCATCATGACGAGTAATTTTCCAACTTCACAGGACAGACACACACCTTGGCATAATATAACTGTGGTTTTGGCCCAGCCACCACCCTCAAGTCAGAATCTATTTCCTATTTTTTTTTAAGATTTTATTCTTCAAATAATCTCTACAACCAACATGGGGTTCGAACTTACAACCCTGAGATCAAGAGTCGCATGTTCTATCAACTGAGCTAGCCAGGTGCCCCTCTTTTTTAAATGCCTTTTTTTTTTCTGAATCAGAAAAGATAATTTCTGTTAACAATGTGTTGTATGATTTTTTTAAGATTTATTTTTATTGATTTAAGGGGGCTTGGGGCAAAGGGAGAGAATCTTCAAGCAGACTTCCCGTTGAGCACAGAGCCTGACACAGGACTTGGTCCCATGACCCATGAGAACATGACCTGAGCTGAAAACAAGAGTTGGGGCGCCTGGGGGACTCAGTTGGTTAAGCCACTGCCTTCGGCTCAGGTCATGATCCTGGAGTCCCAGGATCGAGTCCCGCATCGGGCTCCCTGCTCGGCAGGGAGTCTGCTTCTCCCTCTGACCCTATCCCCTCTGATGTGCTCTCTCTCATTCTCTCTCTCTCAAATAAATAAATAAAATCTTTAAAAAAAAAAAAACAAAACAAGAGTTGGACACTCAACCGGCTTAGCCACCCCGGTGCCCCTGCTATATGATTTTTTTAAATATATACACATAGCTATTGCTGTATTTATTTCAACTGAAACAGATTCATATGCTATTTTTTCATGTATATATTATAGCCATCTTTATGTGTCAATAATTATAGATTTACTTCATTTATCATTGTATGAATTTACCAGTTTATTTGGCCAATCCCCTATTGGTGGCCATTTTGATTGTTTTGTAAATTCTGCAGTGACAAATATCCTCATAAATATATCCTGTACATTGCCCTGGGGATAAATACCTAGAAGTCAGATTGCTGGTTTAAGAATGTGTGTACTTACCGACAGAATGGGAGAAAATATTTGCAAACGACATATCAGATAAAGGGCTAGTATCCAAAATCTATAAAGAACTTATCAAACTCAACACCCAAAGAACAAATAATCCAATCAAGAAATGGGCAGAAGACATGAACAGACATTTCTCCAAAGAAGACATCCAAATGGCCAACAGGCACATGAAAAAGTGCTCAACATCACTCGGCATCAGGGAAATCCAAATCAAAACCTCAATGAGATACCACCTCACACCCGTCAGAATGGCTAAAATTAACAAGTCAGGGAACGACAGATGTTGGCGGGGATGTGGAGAAAGGGGAACCCTCCTACACTGTTGGTGGGAATGCAAGCTGGTGCAACCCCTCTGGAAAACAGTATGGAGGTTCCTCAAACAGTTGAAATTAGAGCTACCGTTCGATCCAGCAATTGCACTACTGGGTATTTACCACAAAGATACAAATGTAGGGACCCTAAGGGGTACGTGTACCCCAATGTTTATAGCAGCAATGTCCACAATAGCCAAACTGTGGAAAGAGCCAAGATGCCCATCGACAGATGAATGGATAAAGAAGATGTGGTATATATACACAATGGAATATTACGCAGCCATCAAAAGGAATGAGATCTTGCCATTTGCAACGACGTGGATGGAACTGGAGGGTGTTATGCTGAGTGAAATAAGTCAATCAGAGAAAGACATGTATCACATGACCTCACTGATATGAGGAATTCTTAATCTCAGGAAACAAACTGAGTGTTACTGGAGTGGTTGGGGGTGGGAGGGATGGGGTGGCTGGGTGATAGACATTGGGGAAGGTATGTACTACGGTGAGCGCTGTGAATTGTGCAAGACTGTTGAATCACAGATCTGTACTTCTGAAACAAATAATGCAACATATTTTAAGAAAAAAGGAAAAGAAGAAGATAACAGGAGAGGAAGAAAAGGGGAGTACGTCAGAGGGGGAGACGAACCATGAGAGATGATGGACTCTGAAAAACAAACTGTAGGGGGGTGGGGGGATGGGTTAGCCTGGTGATGGGTATTGAGGAGGGCACGTTCTGCATGGAGCACTGGGTGTTATGAACAAACAATGAATCATGGAACACTGCATCAAAAACTAATGATGTAATATATGGTGATTAACATAACAATAAAAAAATTAAAAAAAAACTAAAAAAAAAAAAAAAAAGAATGTGTGTACTTCAGGAGCATCTGGGTTGCTCAGTGAGTTAAGCATCTGGCTGGCTCAGGTCATGATGTCAGGCTCCTGGGACTGAGCCCTGCGTCAGGCTCCCCGCTCAGTGGGGAGTCTGCTTGTCCCTCTACTTCTCCCCCCACTCATGCGGTCTCTCTCAAATAAATAAATCTTAAAAAAAAAAGAGTATCTGTACTTCAAATTTGATACATATTGCCAAACAGAACTTCAGAGAGACTGTATTAATTTGAATTCCCAGAGTATGAGTTCCTGTTTCTTCAAACTCTCACCAGCAATAAATACTATTTTTAATATTTGTCAATCTATCAGTTGAAAAATGATGTCTCATTTCTATTTGTGTCTTCTAGATTATAAGGTAAACACCCTTTTTCTATGGCTTTTACAGGTCATTAGTATTTATTCTATGACTTTGGCCTATTTTCTTTTTGTTTTTGTTTTGCTATTGATTTATAAGAGCTTTGTGCACACTGAGGTATGTTGAAAAGTCTTTTTTTTTTTAAGATTTTATTTATTTATTTACTTGAGAGAGAGGGTGCAAGAAAAAACAGGAACAGTATGGAGGGGCAGAGGGAGAAGGGGAAGCAAACTCCCCGCTGAGCAGGAAGCCCAATACAGGGCTCCATCCCAGGACTCCAAGATCATGACCTGAGCTGAAGGCAGCTGCTTAACCACTGAGTCACCCAGGTGCCCCAAAAACTCCTCTGAACCAGTTTGTCATCTACTTTTTATGGTATTTGTTTTGCCTTTTTTTTTTTTTTAAGCTAATACATTGCACTTTTTCCTTTATAGTTCCTGCCTTGGGTGCCATACTAAAATAACTATTTTCAGGGTACCTGGGTGGCTCAGTCGATTGGGCATCTTTCTTTGGCTTGGGTCATGGTCTCGGGGTCCTGGGACCAAGCCCCACGTTGGGTTCCCTGCTCAGTGGGGAGTCTGCTTCTTCCTTTCTCTCTGGCCCTCCCCCCTGCTCATGCTCTCTCAAATAAATAAAATCTTTAAAAAATAAAATAACTATTTTCAAGTACACTTATTACTTTAGTTTTTGTGTTAAAAAACTTTAATCCATCTAGAATATGTTTTGCTAGAAGGTGAGAGGGATTTTTTTTTTAATGGTTAGACATTTACCCTAAACACTATCCTTTCCCACTAAAACCTAGATCTGTTTCTGGACTTTCTAATCAATTTGAGCTCTGCTCACCAACAAAAATTCTTATTTCCAGGGCACCTGGGTGGCTCAGTTGGTTAAGCGTCTGCCTTCGGCTCATGTCATGATCCCAGGGTGCTGGGATGGAGCCCTGCATCAGGCTCCCTGCTCGGTGGGGGGCCTGCTTCTCCCTCTGTCTGCCACTTCCCCTGCTTGTGCTCTCTATCTCTCTGTCAAATAAATGAATTAAAAAAAAAAATCTTTAAAAGAATTCTTATTTCTAGTTGGAATATTTTTTTTCATTGCCCACAACAGGTTTTATGTAGACTGCTACCTATATACACAATGTTGTCCTTGCCTGGAACATCGTCTTATCTTCCCTCCACAGATCCTTCAAAGCAAAACCATTCCTGAGGTAAGAAGTAGTAAATGCTCGGGTACCTGGGGGGCTAAGTTGGCAGAGTGTGCAACTCCGTATCTCAGGATCATGAGTTCAAGCCCCACATTGGGTATAGAGCTTACTTAAAAAAAAGAAAAGAGAAAAAGTAGTAAATGCTATTTAAAACAAGAAATGTGGGCATGTGGGTGGCTCAGTTGGTTAAGCATCTGTCTTTGGCTCAGGTCATGATTCCCAAGTCCTGCGCTGGGCTCCCTGCTCAGCTGGGAGCCTGCTTCTCCTTCTCCCTATGCCCCTCCTCCCTGCTTATACACTTGCTCTCTCTCTCTCTCCCCCCCCAAATAAAAATCTTAAAAAATAAAAATAAAAAGATAAAAATAAAACAAGAAATGCCTTTCTAAAAAAATTTTTTATTTACTTATTTATTTTAGAGAGAGAGAGAACATGGGCAGGAGGGGCAGAGGTAGAGAGAGAGAGAATTTCAAGTAGACTCCACATTGAGCTTGGAGCCTGACATGGGGCTCAGTCTCACAACCCTAAGCTCATGACCCTGAGATCATGACCAAGAGTCAGATATTTAACCGACTGCACCACCCAGGCGCCCCAAACAAGAAATGCTTTCAAAGGAGATAAATAATGTAAAAGAACACATCAGAGCTTCTACAAATACTTTGTGCGGCTAAAGAAGAGGATGAACTTTTTACTCAGCAGACCCATTCCAGTGGGCTTTGGACATACGGAGGGAAGTCTGGAAGAGAGGAGAATTCAATTGCTTCGCATAATAGAGTAAGAAGTATCTGGAATGCTTAGTGGCAATAGAGTTAGGAAGATTTAAGAGGAAAGATATGATTATAAGAGGCCAAAGCCATACACATGGGTGATATGAATAATGATGAAATCCTAATGGAGAGGTAGACAAAAATACTTTAAGGGACAGTGATAGCCAGTATTAGAATTTAAGTTGCTTGCTTTGTGGCAATGTAAAACACTCTACATTACCCTAAATCTTTAATAAAGTCTGCTATACACACAAAGGCTTTACCTGGGAGATATCTGAGTTCTACATCTGGGTGAATATGGATGGAAACAGGAACAGCATGCTTGAGATGGTAAGGCCATCTATAATCTGAACTAATTTAGTGGAAGCAAGAGCTCAAAATTAGAATGACCATAAATACATGAGCTCCCAGGAATTTGAAGAATCTGGGTAAAGGAATCAGACTCTCTATAAGCTGTAGAATGACACTTTGAGCCAAATTTTTAAGGGAAAAGACGGTTCTAGCTAACTAATGCGATACATTAGGATACTCAATCCTCAGAAGCTTTTAAAAAGGACCAAACTACATAAGGTTCAGTGGTAATTCACAGAAGAAACCAGTGGAGGAGGTGCAATTACACATGCTCCTGTAGAGGTGTTCTGGTCCCTACCCTACTTAGTGTGTCCTTGGTCAACTCTCATCTCTTCCATGAAGCTTTCTCTCAAGGTTTCAGCTCTCAGATGATTCTTTTCCAAAACTTCCATTTTACCTAGAATCTGAACCTCAGTGTAACCTTTAATTGTTTTTTTCCTATTTGTTAACTTCTCTATTGAATTCAACTATAGATGCCTTGTAGACAAGAACCCCAATAAAAAGAGAGAGAGAGAGAGAGTGTGTCCACATGCACAAGCAAGGGAGGGTGGGAGGGAGGGACATTCTAAACATCTTACATTACACTCAGAGCCTACTTAATTCCTGGTGGGGAAATAGTGGAAGACAGTGATGCAGAAGCAAGTTTACTAATGACCCTGGATAGTGATACTCCTACGAACAAAGAAGGAGGAATAGGAATAGGAAGGAACAGAAGAAGAGGGGGAAGAGGATGGCATAATGAAAAATAGAATTTGGCTTGAGACATGCTGAGTTTGAAATACCTAAGAGCCACCCAGGTTATGATGGTAATAGTGTTTGGCCATCATGAATCTGGAATGCAGAAGAGAGATTTAGGTTGGAGAGGGAGATTTAATTAAGAGTTTCTGACGTATCAGTGGTAGCTAAAACCATAAGCACAGGTGATATCACCCAGGGATAGTATATAGACAGAGGAGAGGAGGAGGCTAAGGATAGAATCTTGGGAAATGTCTTCACGTAGGAAGCCTGTTGGGGAAAACAAGCCTTCTACAGTTATATGAAGTTACAGTTAACACATCTATATAGTTATGTGCCAACTAATACTTATAATAGATGGACCAAATAACTGGCTCTATCAAAGACCTCTAAATGCCCATTTCAAGCCCTCTTTCGATCTTCCTGTAAGTGAGCTCACTCCCTGATCTTCAGTTAAAACTGGAGCATTTCATAGGAAGTGGCAGGAATGGACATGGGCCCTGGACCAAGGCCCCTGTGGTGGGGCCTGTGGGTAGGAGGATGCTAATTACTGGATGAACATCATACCTAAGGGCAGGATCAAAGCTAAGCCTTTGCATATAGTTTGTTTCATGATTAGCTCATCCAACTGAGTTAAAGTTGGCCAACCAAAGATCTCACTCATGACAGTAAAGGCACATACATACATCAGGGTCTCAAAAGGACCTAAAATTTCTTAATCAGGAGTCTTAAGAGATTTCTGTCTGCTTCAAGTGGTCTTTTCCTGGCTGTCCTGGTTGAGAATGGCATACAGAGGAAGCAGCTAATTTCCTCTTTGGTTACCACCTCTGCCAGCTGGAGCTCCTGGCACTTGGTCACCTACCCTGCCAGATTTAAATGATCTCCACCTGCAAGACTGCCCTGCCTACAGTGCATGGGTTTATCTCCATTGAAGGGTTGAAAAAAATAATAGTCTGGACTACCCATGAGCTATAAAAGAGGGATTTCACAGGCAAAGCAGAAAATTTACAATGCCATAATCATTCCGTAAGAATGAGCTCCATCCCACTTGGCACTGATCCCATATGTGAAGTCGAAATCCTGAACTAGCAGTGAGACTTGAGACTGATGCTGAGATGAATACTCCCAAAGTGAGAAGGAAGGGGTGCTCAGGAGAGCCAGAGAAATCCTGGAAGAGGTAAAACCTGGGGAAAGCAGCCTCAGAAGCTGATGATGGCATCATCCCATTCACTACTTCCTGTTTTAACTGGAGGAAGGAGGAAGATCTGAATGGGGGAGAAAGAATGTAGAATCCCTACCTCTTCCCCACCTTAGAGCTACACTCCAGATCAGAGCTGTCCTTATGCAGACAACACACAGTTAGGTAATCAAACACATGATGTGATTCCAGCAGAAAGACGTAAATACTAGGTGCTCAGTAGGCATTTATTGAATGAAGAGACCAAAGAGATTTCCTACCCCCAAATAGTGTTTTTTCACTGACTGTGACATTACCTTCACCTGGAATTCCTCCATTTGATGTCCATTCCTTTAGGATAAAGCCGCATATTTTCCAAAACTGTGCTCTACCAAACACCATATTCTGTGAGATCTTAATATTCCTTCAAAAAAAAATTGTTCTTTAGTTAAATAAGTTTGGAAAATGTTATATTCTCTCCCTTTTGAAGCTTTATAAATGCATATTAAAAGCTGTCTTTGAGGCAGAGGCAGTTGGAGAACTACCATGAAATTCAGGACAGGGCCCAACTAAGCTAAAAAGCTTGTTCCAGAAGTACAGCTGAGCAGACTAGCATGACATCCAATTAGCCCAAAGAGTTGCAGGCAGAGTTCAGGATAGTCAACAACTGGGAGATCTGTGCATGGGCAAGACTCTATCCACAGAAGCCTAGATGCAAGAAAAGTCTCTAGTAGGGGCAATGGCGGAGGGGGGGAGTCTCTAGTATCAGAAGGGAACTGGCCTGAGAGAGGCTGGAAAGCAAAAACCCCAGCCTCTGGTGAGGGGCTGACAGCAGAGTTATAGCCCTAGACAAGGCTAGAGGGTCCAGGCAGGGCAATTGGACAGAGCTTGATCCTCTTACGAAAAAGCCAAAATAAATGTGAGATGGAGGAGAGGCAGAGAGTAATGGACAGAGCTGTCACTCACAGTACAGTACACCTATCCAGGAGACCCCCTGCTGGGGGCACTGGCTCCAAAATCCTGGTGATCAGCAGATCTAGCTACATCACTAGATCTTCTGCATGGGGCTATGATGGTTGGGGAGAGATGAAGGGGTATATTACGTCCAGAAACTCTACAGAGTTGTGCTAATTCCACTAAGGAGGGAGGTCCAGACCCTGTCAAACTTCAGGAGGTGAGGGGTGGAGACCATTCCTAGAATAGCCTTCTAGGGAAATGTGCTGGAAGGACCCCAGAGGCCTGAATGGAAACCAAAAGTCTGAGCTAAAACAAAATGCTCTAGACTTAGGGTAGGAACGTGGACAGAGTAGAAGTTCAAGCCTGAAGTGAAGGGCATCCATGAACCCAACTGTGAGGAGCTGGAAAAGGCACTGAGATTTGAGTTGCTTCTGTCAAAGACTTCCCCAGGAGTCTTTGTGAATTCTCTGTGAGAATTCAGATCACAAAGGCTGTTGGAAAGCAGTGCTAGATGAATGATGAAGAACAGTCAACTAGAAAGGCTCTCTTTGCAGGAATTCAGGCCAAAAAAGTTGTAGATCTGAATCACAGATGCTATTCGGGCAGCCTCTGGATTAGCTATTTTGGCTCCAGAAAGTTAGTGGACAAGAGGGAACCGTACCTTTGCGTGGACACCCCAAATGCTTTGTCATTGCTTTTGACATGGCATATTTGGCTTTCTGGTTAAGCCCTATCTCAGCACAGCACATTGGGAAATCAAAACCAGAAGTTGCCTGCGACCAGCAGCCTCTGAGGAAGTGCCCTGCCCATGTTGTCATCAGCAACCTCTTTTGCGCCACCATTTCACATCACTTCTGGGAAGCTGCCTCCCACTTCCTAAGATCTGTGCCAGTCTTGTCTGAGGACATCACAGCAAACCACAGACCCAAAGGTCCTGCACTCCTTGTTACATTCTGCCTGTCAGCTGTTCTCCAGACAACATCATGCCTGAATAGCCAGCATGCTCATGGGAAGTCTCTCCACCCAACACGCCCTCTTGGAATCATCCCCATCAGCCTCCATCCCCATCACCCTCAGCTGCTTGTCTTCTCAGTCAAAACTGTAAAGAACACAAACTGTTTCTTTAGGGACCCAACTTCTCTTTTCAGGGCCTTTATCTCAAACTCAGTTTCTCCTTCCTGTCCCTTTGACTAGGGCAGAGTGCCCTTTCTTCTCTGTCCCTTAGTTCAGTTCTCAGAAATCAATCACATACACTCATTCACACCTCCACTTACATGACCAAAATGCTTCACAATCAGACCCCTTCCTGGAGTCTCTTCATTTTTAATAGGATCTTGAAGACTTAAATCAAGGGAAGTAAATTTCACTTGTGGAATTCCAAGCACTAGCAAAGAGCTGAAGCAAGTCTTTGAGGGGCAGTACACATTCTTGGTGCCCCTCAAATTATACCACTTGACAGTCCAGCCTTGTCTCTTCTTATTCCATCACCTGACACACTCAAGCTGTCTCCTCTGCCAGCCCAGAAGCCAGGCTCCCCTGGACCTGGGCCAGCACCCAATGCCATCTGGTCTCCCTTAGAAAGGCAAAAGAGAGACACCTCTTGTTTACTCAGTCATAATTCACTGTAATAGTCACATAACAGGTGTCACCAGCTCCAGAACATACAGTAAGGGCACACCACACCCTCACCTCTGCCCCCATCATGGCTTACTCCTTGGGACAAATCAACAAATTTTATTTGGAGAATAGGACAGGGCCTCTTAAGCAGTAAACCAGAGTTACCAGTGGTGTTTTGACACTTGTGGATTACACTGCAATGAAAACTTAGAGGTAAAGAACAAAGGCTTTTTTTTAAATCCTCCCCTACAGCCAACTGGTATCCTTCCCACATATGTTGTTGCAGCATCTCTATATATAGAACCTAGCATTCTATAAACAGGTTGCTCTGGCTAAACATGTCTCAACGAGTAAAACTGTGAGGTAGAGAAAGATGTCATCTCTCCATCTTCTCTCCTTTCCCTAAATCTTGTCAGAGACAGAAGAGCTCTGTGAAAACAGCATGGGTTTTGGAACTGGACAGACCTGAGGAGAAATAAATCCTAGCTCAGCCTTTTATTAGCTGTCTGACCTTGGACAAGTTACATAACTTTTTTGACTTTCAGCTTGCCCATGTGCAAAAGTGAAAATGATACTTCATTGGTTTGCATTATGATAATTAAATAAGAAAATATATGAAAAGCATCTAATATATGTCTGGTTCTCCAGGGATAGGAGTTTGTTCTCCCCTATCTGGCTCATCATGCACCTTGGTGCCCTAATGTTACTCTCTGGCTGTCCAAGGCCAAGGTGTGTGCCCCACACAAACCTAACCCTCTTTTCCTAAACCCTACTAAAATTCCCATCCCTTAGAATAACTGATCTAGGGCCGCCTGGGTGGCTCCATCGGTTAAGCGTCCGACTCTTAATTTCAGCTCTGGTCATGATCTCTGAGTCCTGGGATCAAGCCCCACATGAGGCTCCCTGCTGAGCAGGGAGTCTGCTTGTCTCCCTCCCCCTACTCCTGCACACTCTCTCTCAATAAATAAATCTTTAAAAAAAAAAGAATAAATAAATAAAAACCAAAAAAAAAAAAGAACTGATCTAATTACAACACCACTAAAAGGAAAGCAATTCTGATGAAATAAATTCAAGTAAAATGTAGATGATATTAATCTTATATTAATTCTGCGGGGGAGGGGAAGGATTTCTACATTAAAAAGAAGAGCTAGAGGAGTGCCTGGCTGGCTCAGTGCACATGCAACTCTTTTTTTTTTTTTTTAAAGATTTTATTTATTTATTTGAGAGAGAGAGAGAATGAGAGATAGAAAGCACGAGAGGGAAGAGGGTCAGAGGGAGAAGCAGACTCCCCGCCGAGCGGGGAGCCCGACGCGGGACTCGATCCCGAGACTCCAGGATCATGACCCGAGCCGAAGGCAGCCGCCCAACCAACTGAGCCACCCAGGCGCCCCCACATGCAACTCTTGATCTCAGGGTTGTGAGTTTGAGCTCCACACTGGGTACAGAAATTACTTAACAAAAACCTTTAAAAAGTTTTTAAATTAGGGGTGCCTGGGTGGCTCAGTCGGTTAAGCGTTGGACTCTTGATTTCGGTTCAGGTCATGATCTCAGGGTGGTGAGATGGAGCCCCACGCTGGACTCTGTGCTCAATGTAGAATCTACTTGACATTTTCTCTCTCCCTCTCTCTTGCCTCTCCCCTCACTCACTCTCACCCTCTAAATAAATAAAATCTTGGGGCGCCTCGGTGGCTCGGTCATTAAGCGTCTGCCCTCAGCTCAGGTCATGATCCCAGAGTCCTGGGATCGAGCCCCGCATCGGGCTCCCTGCTCAGCGGGAAGCCTGCTTCTCCCTTTCCCACTCCCTCTACTTTTGTTCCTGCTTTTGCTCTCTCTCTCTCTCTCTCTGTCAGATAAATAAATATTTTTTAAAAATAAATAAAATCTTTAAAAAATTGTTAAAAAGAACTAGAAATTCAAATGAAAGAAATGACATCTAATGATGAGGCTCCCCTAGATCACAGGGGACCAATGTCAGCCTCTCTCTCTACAAGCATGGCCCACATCACTCTCTGTGCTGAAGATGAACCATCAGAGGTACAGGACAGCATCTGATTGCCAAATATCACACCTAAAATCAACAGGTCCAGAAAGGAACTTGGGAGCCTTGGCTATCGCTTCTGCTCTGGCCAGCACACACCCCTTCCTTAGCCAAGAAGTTACAGTGGTGCTTTTTTCCTGGGAGGTTTCCAACACTATTTTAAGCTCTTTGAAATGAAACAGCAACAGATTTGATTACAGTCACAGCTTTGGAATAGCCTGTAGAAGGCCTGGGCTCTACACTTCCAGAATACCTTGCTTCTCTGGTTTCAACAAAGCCAGATTAATACAGATGGCAGAGTGGGACTACGTCTTGACTTCTCAGTGATCCAGGAAGAAGGACCAAAGGAACATTTCTGGTCTGGACATACAGGATCACAGGAGCAGATTATTACAACTAAAAATGGCCCAAGTGTAATCACTTGGCACAATGTGCTATGCTGACTATAAATCACAATTCAGCATGGAAGTTCTCTGAGGTACTCTTTAGCAGTGTGCATGTTCTACTTGACTTTCTTGGCAAACCCCCAGGGAACCTGGGGCATTTAGGCTTGGCTGGGGTCTCAGGAGCCAGACACCCCTATGGGGTGAAAGGAACTGGCTGGCAACTTCAGCAGATGAAATGAAGAGGAAATGAAGGTGAAGTCCGAGGGGAGGAAAGGACTGGTCCAGACAGGATTATCCCAAAGCATGTGCTTAGAGAACTGGCAAAGAAGAGACAGTAATAGCAAATGTTTTAAATTCTATTTATCTAATTAGTCACCATGGTAAAAAACAGAATTTTGCTGGATTTTCCTTATACTTCACTGGATTTCCTTATACTGATTTTGTGTTTAATATTGTTTTTGAAATACATACTGAGGGCTGAAAATATGAGGGACATCATAATCTTTCTATTGCTTAGGCCTCTGAAGTTCTTAATCTGGTCCTTGGCTTTATCAAGAAGCAAGAAAAACCAGGATTCCAAAGCTTCAAGGTCAATATTCAATTCTTCATTCAATAAACACTTCTTGAGGAGCTAGAGAAGTGTCAGGTCTTTGCTCAGTCCTGGGATACAGCAGCAAACAAAACAAATATGGTTCCTGAGTTCCTGGAGCTCAGTCTAGTGAGAGTTAAGAATAAAAGCAGGAGGGGTGCCTGGGTGGCTCACTCGTTAAGAGTCTGCCTTTGGCTCAGGTCATGATCCCAGCGTCCTGGGATGGAGCCCCACATCAGGCTCCCTGCTCAGTGGGAAGCCTGCTTCTCCCTCTCCCACTCCCCCTGCTTGTGTTCCCTCTCTCGCTGTGTCTCTCTTTGTCAAATAAATAAAATCTTAAAAAAAAGAAGAGCAGGATTGGGGTGCCTGGGTAGCTTAGTGGGTTGAGTGTCTGACTCCTGGTTTCAGCTCAGGTCACCACCTCAGGGTTGTGGATTGAACCCCACCTCAGGCTCAGCGTTCAGCGCAGTCTGCTTGTCCCTCTCCCTCTTCTCCTCCCCCTGCTCATGCTTTCTCTCGTGCTCTCTCTCAAAAAAATAAGTAAAAAAAAAAAAAAAAAGAGTAAGAGCAGGATCCAAAGCAAAAAGTTCATATTGGAAAGAAGGCAAGATTCTGCAGCCAACAATGGGATGCAAAGGGAAGAGATCCCTTCTGGGATGCCAGCAAAAGAGGCCATGGGCAAACAAGAAGCTGTTCAGGGGGATGGGCTGGGTCAGATAACATCCTTATCCCCCCACTCACTTTGGCAGAGAAGAGAGCCACTGTGGTGTGTTGGGCTTATCAAGAACAGGTGACCAGGGCCCTCAGAGTCAATGCAGTCATGATGCTGCTCCTTCTCTGCTCACAGCCATGAACTGTGATATGTGTGACGTGAGCTGTGTGTGACATCCTGAAGCTCCAAAAACAACCACGACTTGAGTTGTCTACTGACAGAAATTCTAGGAAGTATAGCAGGCCAAAAATGGGAAGCATAAAAATAATTGCCAGAAGAAGCTAAGTGACCCTCCCCACAACTGTTACCCACATTTCTCTGACATTGCATGGAAATGAAAAATAAAAGCCTGATTTCACCTGGAAGAGTGGGGTCATGAAGCAATCTGCTGAAATGATCAGATTACAGCCAGAAGCCTCTGAGAGGAGTTTCTGCTTTAGGGCATGAAATGGGCAAGAATGGGGAAAGGCTGTGGCCTGCTGTGTTAGGTAAGGAGCCATTCCAACAGCTCAGTCCCAGCACTACCAGAAGGTGTGACAGCCATGGTGAAGGTGCCGAGCTGACAACTGCAACATCAGGAACTTCAGAGTAAGTGCACAGCCAGCAGAGCAGCGGCCTAGACAGATCTCAAAGTATCTGATCTCTCTGGGCCTGTTTCCTTATCTGAAAATGGAGGTAATAAAAGAGTATGTGTTGGTTTCTCAGGGCTGCTATAACAAACACTACAAAGTGGGTGGCTTCAAACAAAAGACATTTATTCTCTCACAGTTCTGCAGGCTAGAAGTCCAAAATCAAGGTTTCAGCAGAGCCATGCTCCCTGTGAAGGCTCCAGGGAAGAATCTTTCTTTGCCTCTTCCAGCTTCTGGTAGTTGCCAGTAATTCTTGACATTCCTTGGTTTGTGGCCGCACAACTCCAATCTCTGCTTCCATCTTCACACAGATGTCTTCCCTCTTTGTATCTCCCTCTTCATATAAGAACACCAGTCACTGGATTAGGGCCCATCCTAATCCACTATGACTTCATCTTAACTTGATTACATCTACAAGGATCCTATTTCCAAATAAGATCACATTCATAGGTTCTGGGTGGACATGAAATTTGGGGAGGACACTATTCAACCTAGTACAGAGCACCAATCTCATAAAAACCTCATATAAGTAAGGTGCTTGGAACAGTTGCTGGCACAAAGCATATGCCATGTAAGAGTCAGCTACCCTTCTTTGACATCTTTGGCAAATGATAGCTGCCATGGGATATATGAACACTCCGTCATATAGGAATCACTCTCCCTCCATCTTGAATTAGAGGGAAGAAACTAGATGGGACAAGAGTTCCAAAAAAGAGCTGATGAGGGCACAGGTAGAACACAATGTGTTCATTACCATTCGATACCCCCTCATCAATACCCTACCAATACTCTCAGGCTGGAGTGAGGAAATATCCACTATAATCACTTCATTTGTTTTTTAAGAACACAAAACTTGGGGTGCCTGGGTGGCTCAGTCGGTTAAGCATCTGCCTTCAGCTCAGGTCATGGTCCCAAGGTCCTGGGATCAAGCCCCGCATTGGGCTCCCTGCTCCGCGGGAAGCCTGCTTCTCCCTCTCCCACTCCCCCTGCTTATGTTCCCTCTCTTGCTGTTTCTCTCTCTGTCAAATAAATCTTTAAAAAAAAAAAGAACACAGAACTTATCATTCCAAACTAACAATGGCCCCTTCAAAGCAGTCCTCAAACTAAGATCCATTTAGAAGAAGCCTCCAGAGAAGAGCCAGCAGAGAAGCTACCCTAGTGAATGCAGCAGTTTCACTGCTTAGTCAAACCGTGAGTTCTGATCCCAAACTGCTTTACATAGCATATTCATCCCATAGCTTAGCAACTGAATGACTGAGTCCAAACACGAAATTCATTCTCTGAAATGGAGACCTCCTATCTCGAGGATATCTTACTTTCAGATTAGGGGAGGGGAGAAAAGATTAAAGGCTCCTGGTCTTTCTTCTTTAATAAATAGGTCTGGGACAGTACACAAATGGAAAGAAATAGAGCCAGATCTCATCTGCTATCTTCATATCAAAATAAGTTCCAGAAGGATCAAAGATTTAAAGATTAAATTTAAAGATTTAAAAGCACGCATGCATGTGCCCACACACACCAAGTACTCAAAGAGAATGAATAACTATTTTTTATATTTTTGAGGTAAGGAGATATGCCTGTTCTAAATACTGGCCTAGCAGCAGGAAAAACCGTAAAAAAAAAAAAAAAAAGATTTTGACTACCTAAAAATGTAAAACTTCCCAAGAAAAAAAAATTGCATAAACACAGTCAAAAGACAAATGACAAACTAGGAACATTTCTGCTATATTATAGTCAACACTTTACCTCTTACAAGTCATTAAGAAAATATTACTGGGAAAATATGCAAAAGACATGAGTAAGTGGGGCGCCTGGGTGGCTCAGTCGGTTAAGCGTCTGCCTTCAGCTCAGGTCATGATCCTGGGGTCCCAGGATCGAGCCCTGCATCAGGCTCCCTGCTCCGCTAGAAGCCTGCTTCTCCCTCTCCCACTCCCCCTGCTTGTGTTCCCTCTCTCGCTGTCTCTTTCTCTGTCAAAAAGTAAGTAAAATCTTAAAAAAAAAAAGACATGAATAAGTGACTCAAAAAATATACCAAAACACATTTGAAAAGATGTTCAATCTTTTAATATAAAAAAAATTATTAAGTCATACTTATTGAGTGACATGTCTCCATTACTATTTGAAGCATTTTATTTAAATTAATTGACTTATTCTTCCTGAAACAGGTGCTATCATTATGCTTACCTTATCAAAGATGAAACTGAGAAAGAGAAATTAAATGACTTACCCAAGGCCACACAGTTACGGCTGAGTCAGAATTCAGGCCCCCGTAGGCTGGCTCCAGAGTCACATACCGTATCACATCACATCTATCAGAGTCACACTCTCAACTACCATATTATAGTGACAAGACCACTTTTCACCTGTCAGATGGGAAAGATGAAAAACATACAACCCAGTATTACTGACAGTGTAGGCACTCTCATGTGCTATTGGTAGAAGTTAACATTCCTAAGGGTAGTTGGTTCCATGAATCAACATTTTAAATGTGGGGGCACCTGGGTGGCTCAGTTGTTACACATCTGCCTTTGGCTTGGGTCATGATCCCAGGGTGCTGGGATCGAGCCCCGCACTGGGCTCCCTGCTCAGTGGGAAGCCTGCTTCTCCCTCTGCCACTCCCCATGCTTATGTTCCCTCTCTTGCTGTGTCTCTCTCTGTCAAATAAATAAATAAAATCTTTAAAAAAAAAAATTTAAATGTGCATATCCTTTAACTGATCCATTCTATTTCTTAGAATTTATCCTAAGGAGATAAGTAGACAAGTGTACAAAGATTATATACAGGGTGTTTATCACAGAACGTACATAATAACAAAAATACTGCAAATAGGGGCACCTGGCTGGCTCAGTCAATAGAGTATGCAACTCTTGATCTCAGGGTCCTGAGTTTGAGCCCCACACTGGGTGCAGAGATCACTTAAAAAAAAAATACTGCAAATAAAAAGTCCAACAAATACACCAAAAGTCCAACAAGTTTGTTCATTCAACAAATATTTACTGAATACCAACCAGGAACTGTCCTACGTAACAGCTAGAAAGCAGTGAATAAAAAAAGAAGAAAAAAAAATCTGTCTTCATGGAGCTTACATTCTAATGGAAGGTATTGGGCAATAAACAAATAAGAAAAGTATAGAGTATATCAAGGGGTGTTAAATGCTATAGAGAAAAATAAAGGAGAGAAGGTAGACAGGAAAGAAAGGGGGTTTGCTACAATTTTAAGTAAGGGAGTCAGGGAAAGCCCCATAGATAAGAGATAAGATGAACAGATTAAATATTAAAAAATAAGGGCGCCTGGGTGGCTCAGTTGGTTAGGCAACTGCCTTCGGCTCAGGTCATGATCCTGGAGTCCTGGGATCGAGTCCCACGTCGGGTTTCCTGCTCAGCAGGGAGTCTGCTTCTCCCTCTGACCCTCTTCCCTCTCGTGCTTTCTATCTCTCGTTCTCTCTCTCTCTCAAATAAATAAAATCTTAAAAAAAATAAAAAATAAAAAGCATTGTGGTACATCCTCACATTAAAATATAATTTAGCCATTTATTCTACATTTATTTACATAAGGAGTCTACAACAAACTACAAAATGAGAGAAGATTCTCACCACACACACAAAAAACAGGGAACTATGTCAGGTGACGGATGTGTTAACCATATTGTGATAATAATTTAAAAATATGTATGTGTTTCAAATCATCATATTGTACACCCTAAACTTACACAATGTTATATGCCAATTATATCTCAATAAAGCAGGGGAAAAGGTGAAAAAAGATTACAAAATGGTATAAAGAAAAAAACAGTATTATGGTATGATTCCATTGATATGAAATTACATGTGTATACATGCTTATGCCTTAAATGGCATAGAGGAACAACACAGGAAGAATTTGATAATATCAACCAAGGGTCCGGGCTGACTGCAGACCAGTGGTGCCAGCAGTCTTTATTTGTTCTCCACCATGTTCATCCTTTTCCCCACACCTACACTTTCATCTATTTATTTCTTGGGGGGGAGGGGCAGAGGGAGAGAGAGAGCAAATCCCAAACAGGCTCCACACCCCGAGATCATGACCTGGGCTAAAATCAAAAGTCAGATGCTTGGGGTGCCTGGGTGGCTCAGATGGTTAAGCCTCTGCCTTCGGCTCAGGTCATGACCCCAGGGTCCTGGGATCCAGCCCCACATCGGGCTCCCTGCTCTGCTGGAAGCCTGCTTCTCCCTCTCCCATTCCCCTGCTTGTGTTCCCTCTCTCGCTGTCTCTCTCCGTCAAAAAATAAATAAAATCTTAAAAAAAAAAAAAGTCAGATCCCAATCAAGTGAGCCACCCCCTACACTTTGTTCCAGAAAGGATGTAAGGACCAAAAATCCACCTACCCCTACAAGTTCTTTAACTCTCCCCTTCCTTCCTCACCCTTCTCCCTCCTCTTTCCAGATGCCAGGCCAGTGATAGTGCAAAAAGGATAAAAGCTTAAGATCAAGGCAAGCTGAAGGGGCCTAAGAAGAATGGAGGGAAACCTCCATACACCTGGATGGGATTCCTTATTTCAGCACATGGGAAACAGATCCTAGGACACACACTTCCTCCTTGCAGATCTATAAGATTTGAAGCAAGGCTGGGACGCTTAGATGGCCCAGATGGTTGGGCGTTTGCCTTCAGCTTGGGTCTTGATCTCCAGGTACTGGGATTGAGTCTCATGTCCCATTGTCGGGCTCCAGCTAGGCAGGGGGTCTGCTTCTCCATCTCCCTCTGCCTCTCCTCCTACTACTTGTGCTCTCTCTCTCAAATGAATAAAATCTTAAAAAAAAAAAAAAAGATTTGAAGCAAGGCTATCTGATTCAGATTCCCTGTTTCATCTTCTAAACCCCAAATGCCTTGCAGGGCAGCCAGAGGTAAGACTGACTCTCAAAGGGAAGTGACTAGCCACAGCAGTCCAGAGCTCTGCCCCTGGCACACAAGTGCCTACATCTTCCTAGGAGAAGAAATGACACAGAGCTGAGCCCATTTTACTCCCTACTTTATCCCTTCCTCCACAGCTACACCACACAATCTATCCTGGCTAAGTTAAACTCATGTCCAATCCCATACACTCAACACCTTGCATGACTACCCTAGAGATTCACAGCCTTCCCTACTAAAATGCTCAAGCCTAGGTCCCTACCAAGAATGTTACCCAAGGTGACGTTTTCAGTCTGGGGTAAGGTTTTGAGTAACCTGGTGAACAGGGTCCAGATATACTTGCTGTCAGATATGTGGAAGCCAATTACACTTCTTGCCTGAACATAAAGCCACCAATAAGGAATTGGCAACTTCCCAAAGGTGGAATCCATGTTTTTATCCCCTATTTAGCCTGAGAGTAGGAGGCATGTGAACAGAGGCTGGGGACCTTAACAGTTTCAAAATATTTCTCACATACTCTCTGTCACCTCTTGGATACCAACAATATACAAGGCCCAGTGTTAAGAGTTTTCACATACTCTCACCAAAAACGACAAGTCACTTTAATCAAACATTCCTACCACATGCTACTAAGTTTAGGAAGTCTATGGCACATACAGGTCCAGTTGCCCTGCTGACAGTTGAATACCCAAGCTTGAAATTAGGAACAGGTCAGAAATCTGAGATTCTCCTCAGGGATACAAAACAGAAGTCTCATTACACACCATTAGGTCAACAGCCTTCATACCCCATTCCAGCTTCTGCTCTTTCCTGGGCTTTCAGCAGGGAACATCCCTCCAACACACACACACACACACACACACGAAATCCTCCAACACACTGAGTCTACAAGTGGAAGAAATTCTTTACTAGTAAAGAGAACAAGTCAGAGAAAATCCAAAAGCAATCATCTCTTTGACAGAGGAGCCTCTTTCTTTCTCTCTCCACCTCTCTCTTTTCTTCCTTGAATATGTAGTTACTGAGCAAGTTCTATTATGCTTGTCACTATAAGATATAATAAGATATGCCTCCCACCTTCAACAATTTACTCCATTTGAATATTATGCAGCCATCAAAAGGAATGAGATCTTGCCATTTGCAACGACGTGGATGGAACTGGAGGGTGTTATGCTGAGTAAAATAAGTCAATCAGAGAAAGACGTATCATATGACCTCACTGATATGAGGAATTCTTAATCTCAGGAAACAAACTGAGGGTTGCTGGAGTGGTGGGGGGTGGGAGGGATGGGGTGGCTGGGTGGTAGACATTGGGGAGGGTATGTGCTATGGTGAGCACTGTGAATTGTGCAAGACTGATGAATCACAGATCTGTACTTCTGAAACAAATAACGCAACATATTTTAAGAAAAAAGAAAAAGAAGAAGATAGCAGGAGAGGAAGAATGAAGGGGAGTAAATCGGAGGGGGAGACAAACCATGAGATGATGGACTCTGAAAAACAAACTGAGGGTTCTAGAGGGGAGGGGCGTTGGGGGATGGGTTAGCCTGGTGATGGGTATTAAAGAGGGTACGTTCTGCGTGGAGCACTGGGTGTTATGTACAAACAATGAATCATGGAACACTACATCAAAAACTAATGATGTAATGTACGGTGATTAACATAACAATAAAAACTTAAAGGGAAAAATAAAGAATTTATTCCATTTGGAAAGACAAAATCAACACACAGGAAACAGATTATAAAAGGGGGACTCCAAGATTTCTAGTGCATGAACAGGAAGTAGAGACAAATAGTGGGTATCCTGACATACACAGGTATCTTCAATTTCAAACACAATCTCCTCTTTTTTTGTTCCATTCTCAGTAGAGATGTGTTTTACTTCAAGAAAAATGTCATACACAAAAGTCCAAATATATTAAGTTAGGGATCATTCACTAGACAAAAAGGACCTTCCTTCTTCCTCTTTCCTGTGAAGTTTAGAGATACAACTTGATGCTTCCCCAGCCCATCCCTGCTGATACACACACCACACCACACCACACCACACACACACACACACACACACACACACACACACACACACACACACACATTTACATTCAACTTTTCAGGATATTTATAGGGTAAAGCAAAGTACTTAAAACATTATAAAGCTTGGGGTGTATGGGTGGTTCAGTCAGTTAAGCATCCAACTCTTGATTGCAGTTCACGTCATTATCTCAGGGTCATGAGACTGAACCCCACATTAGGCCCTCCGTGCTCAGTGGGGAATCAGCTAGAGATTCTCTCCCTCTCCCTCTGGTCCTCCCCCCACTTTCTCTCTGTCTCTCATACATGCACATTCTCTCAAATAAATACATCTTTAAAAACAAAACAAAAACAAAACAAACAAGAGGTAATCTGGGTACAATAAGTAGATAGAATCCTCCCCCCTTTTCACACAAATACTAATACTAGCATGCCACAAACACTATTC